GGCTGGTCAGATCCGCATGGGCCTTAGTCTCACAAGAACTGCAGCCACATTGAAGCCGTGGGTTACGAGCTCGTAAGCCATCCTCCCCGGCCCCGCTCCCTGTCCTTGGAAAACTTGTCCTCCACGAAGGCGGTCCTTGGTGCAGAAAAGGTCGTGGCCCACTGCCTCAGAGGCTTTCTTGGAGGGAGAGGCGGGTAAAATCTCCCCGAGGTCCGGGCGCGTGCGCAGGCCGCAGGACTGCTGCCCTGTGATGCCGAAGGCCACGGGAGGGCCCGGCTGCCTCCAGGTCCACACAGCCACCTGCGATCCTGGCTGACTGGGCAGGGGAGGGCCATGGCGTGCAAACCCTGTCGAGGGGCTCTCTCTCTCCCCGTCTCTTATTTGCAAGAGGGTGCATGAACTCGCTGGAGAGAGACAGAGACAGAGAGAAGTAAGAAGCAGCTCTGTGCACCTGGCCACTCCCATCCCTCGTCCAGGTCTCTTTCCAGGATCTGGGGCACGCGGTGCACGTTTCACAGGTCATGGGATCCAGGACTCCAGCCGCGCAGCCACGTGGGGCCCAGCCGCTCTAACCTCCACCCACCAGCCGGCCCTGTGCCCTCTCTCTCTCTTTCTCTCTCAAAATAAATAAAAAACTTGAGAGAAAAAAATGTCCCCTAAAAGCTAGCTGCCACCGGCATGAAACAGAAGCCGCTGCGAGCCGCGGCTCCACCACCTAGCACGCTGTTTTCGTTGGGTCAGCAGAGCCTGCCTGGTCCCATGCTGGCTAGCCTCGAAGTCTGAGTTGATCTGCCCGAGAATGGCGCTGTCGGGCGGTACACCGACTTCCGGCCGCAGCGGAGACAGCTCCCCTCCGAGGGCGCGCTCGGTCAGCCTAACGGCAGGCCCCGGTTTCCGAACGCTTGTGTACTTGGCACGTCGCTCCGGCAGGGGGCGCTGCTATACCGCGACACTGCCTCAAGAACGCCAGGCACCGCTGTGTTCTTTCAATCGGGGATTTTCTATTGTCTGGGAGCGGACGGGACCGCCTCTTCTTCCAGCAATTCCTGATTGGGACGGGTTTCTTTGATCTTTTGTGGACCTTCTCCCAGGTCAGACACATAACAAGTCAGTTTCATTGGACTTTGAATCACACTCACTTTAGCTTTCCCTCTCCATTGCAAACATGGTTTAAACCTACCGGTTGAATTCGGACTTTTTCTTTCTCTCTCTCTCTTTCTCTCTCTCTCTCTTTCTTCCTTCCCTCCTTCCCTCCCTCCTTCCTTCCTTCCTTCCTTCCTTCCTTCCTTCCTTCCTTCCTTCCTTCCTTCTTCTCTTTCTCCTTCTCCTCCTTTTTCTTTTTTTCTATCAAAATACAGACCCAAGGAGTCATGCATGGTCGAGGGCTGCAACTGGCAGGAACTTGCGCTGTCCTATCATCTGGCTGGCAGCTTGGAAAGTGCGAGGATGAGGGTCTGTATGGTGTGACCCAAATGAGGTTGTTTTTTGTTTGTTTGTTTTTTTGAGAGGTTTTTGCTATAGGGTGCGTGCGCTCGCCAGACAGACAGAGAGAAAGACAGAGACAGAAAGCGAGAAATCACCTCCCCCCCAGGGGGGATGGCCATGCCGCAATCCCCTCTCCTCCATTCTCCTCTCGGGATCCTGGGCACGCATGCACACACGCCCGGCGTGAGTTTTAAGCCAGCGGGTCCCGGACGCGCACCGTGGTCGACTACGTGGGAGTCCAGCGACATAGCCATTACGCTAACTGCTGGTTCCACCCAAATGAGGTTTTTAATCTATCCATCCTTTACCTACCTAGTTATTCTCTATCTATAGCTACCTCTGGTGTCTACCACCCACCATGTAAATACCATCTACCTACTACCTCTTTATCTACCATCTAATGTCTAGCATCTACATACCTGCTTATCATTGATCCCTGTAACGTGTCATCTTTCATATATCATATATTATCTACCTCTCCACCTCATAGTTATCTAACAGCTAGCTACCCTCTACCTAGCATCTCTCTCTAACATCTATATACCTATCTGCCAGCACTCCCAAAACCCAGCACTGACTGCTGCCCTGGGTCCACACAGGGTGGTGCAGTGGGCACCTGTGTCCAACAAAGCTGTAGAAGTCTTAGTCTCTTGCCTGTTCAAGACTCCCTAGCACACTGGACATTTTCCTTACAGCAGGCGAGGTGGGGCTGGGATGCTCACAATAGTGTCCCCGCTAGTCAGTCAGGTTTTGCGTTTACTTAGAAAGGCTCAACAGGGAACCAGCAGTTAGTGTAATGGCTATGTCGCTGGACTCCCACATAGTCGACCGCAGTTCGCGTCCTGGACCCAGTGGCTTAAAACTCACGCTGGGCGCGTGTGCGTGCGTGCCCAAGATCCCGAGAAGAGAATGGAGGAGAAGGGATTGCGGCGTGACCATCCCCCCTGGGGGGTGATTCATCACTGTCTGGCAAGCGCACACGCCCTATAGCAAAAACCTCTCAAAAAGAAAGAAAGAAAGAAAGAGAAAGAAAGGAAGAAAGGCTCAACAAACATTCTGTTAGTGATTTTGGTCCACTGGAAACTTTCCAACTTCATAGCTGGCACCATTTCCCTCAGACTTAGCCTTGGGGACCTTTGGCATTGCCTTTCACTGGAGTTTGCTCCTGAAACAGCTTCAGAATAGAAAGGTGATAGCTTTCTTTTTTTTTCCTCCTATAGGGCACATGCACTTGTTGAAAAGAGACAGAGAGACAGAGGAAGGGAAAGTAAGAAACTCCTCCCAAAGGGGAATGGCCACATGGCAATCCTTTCTCTTCCAGTCTCCTCTCTGGATTTAGGTCATGCACACACAAGTGCCCAGCATGTTTTTTAAGGGACTCCAACTGCGCTTGTCAGCCATGTGGAATCTAGCCACCTTAACCAACATGCTACCTGTCTAGCCTTCTTTTTGTCATTTGTAACAAGTTCTTAGAAAGGTTTTTTTAAACGTTTACCACAGTTGAGTTTATGTTAGTAAGATAATTTTGGCAAAGTCCCTACAAAACCACAGAATAAGGAGCTTATTGAACACAAACAACAATGTTGGATTGGAACTCACTGCCCCACCCCTCACTTCCAAAGAGAGAAGAGCTGAAAGTTAACTTCATCGGCAAGATAATCAAGCATGCCTACGTAATGAAACCACCATAAAAATGTTTCAGAGCGGAAAGGTGACAGCTTTTTGTCTTTTTTCTTTTTTCCCTATAGGGAGCATGCACTTGTCCTAGGGATTTCAGAAAGGTGAACAAGAACACCTTTAAATGCCCACGTGGTGGCCCACTGCAGCTTCATGGGCAGAAGCTCCTGTGCTTGGGACTCTTCTAAACCTCACCCTGTATATCCTTTAAACATCCTTTGTAATAAACCAATAAATATAAGGAATTGTTTTCCTTGAGTTCTGTGAGCTGCTCTGCAAATTTATTGAACCCAAGAAAGGGGTCCTGGGAGCCCCAATTTACAGCTAGTCAGAAGCACGGGTAAAACCATCTGAGTCTTGGGATTGACAAAAACTGGAGAAAATCTTGTGGGACTGGGCTTTAAACCTAGCGAATCTGACATTATTTCCAGACGTATCAGGATTGAACTAGGGTTAGCCAGTGTCTGATGCAGAAAGGCTTAAGATGTCAAAACATCAACTACAGAAAAATTAAAATATATACAATGCACCCTTCCCTGCCTTAGGTTTATTGTGTGATTTTCCTCATTCCTATGGTCTGGATCTCGTAGGTCTCCCTCGCGCGAACTACGCTTAGGTATTAATTCTAGTTTCTGTGGTCCCCTAAGGCACGGCCATGCCCATTTTGGTAAGAGGCAGAACGGGCGCTGTCCTTACAGTCTGATTCGGAAGACGTCTTCCACTGGGGGGCCTCGAACCCAGTAACGACGGACCCATTGGGCAGGGGAGCGAGTCCTCTCTGGAGTCGCGGAGACCGATCCACCGTCCGGGCTCCGAGTCGCTGTTCTCAGTGCGGCACACTCAGCACAAGGAAAGTCGGCTTCCACGGACAGGCGCAGAGGGCCCGCTCCGAGGGACCCTGCGGGCACTGCCTGGGACAGGTCCCAAAGCAGCCTCCTCAAGCACCGCCCGGGCTCGGCTCGTAACTAGGGACGCTCTGGTCTCCAGGTGAGAGGAGGGAGAGTACGACTGCGCGCCTGCGCACATTTCAGGTCCGCTCGCTCGGGCCCGGACACCGGGGCCACGCCCTGATTACGTACCCACGCACATGCGCAAGCAGGCAACGCGGCCTAGGGGCACGCCCCTTCCCCTACGCCACGCCCCGTCCCCGCCCTCGCGTCGGGCTCCCGGAGAGGCGGCGCCTGCGCACTGGAGCCCCGGCGTCGACTCCGGAGGCCTTCGGGTGAGAAGGCTGGATGCGGGCGGGGCGGGTGTCCCTGGCGGTCCCGGAGTCCGAGTCCTACGGCTGGGCCAGGCGCGAGCCCGGCG